TCAAATAACATGCTATAATTGTAGACACGTTCTAATGGAACAAATATCAATGGAATTGTTTGTATCCATTATTAACGATAAGCTCCTTCAATTACATTTTTGTTCTCTAAAAATGATGAGCTCATTTCTCATTCACCTTGTCACTTTCAAGGTAACACCATCTATGTCTTGTGTTTGGAAAAATGATCTGAATTGCATTTTGCATGGTCCTATCTTGATCGGTAATTATTCCATGCGGTGCGTGACCATGTATACACTGAAGCCATGTTTCGAACAACCAGACAAAAGTTTTTGTGTCTTCGTTCGATGGCAAACCCCAACCTAATAGTGTTGACTGCCCGTGATGATTGACACCGACAAACAGGGCAAAAGGCATGTCATAAAGGCATGTCATACTTGTTTGTGAGGTGAGTGGTATCAAACGTGACAATATCGTCAAACTCTTTATACGCTTGCCTACAGTGATAGTCCGCCCAAAATACATTCTTTAGCCATGATTCATCATCTAAATCCATGCTAAAGTAAAACCCTGAGCATTGTGCTTGCATTTTTGAGAAGTATGATTGTATATCTACGGCATCTCCTTCGCCAAGCCTTAATCGTCTCATTTGTTTGACATAATTCTGATGTAACTCATGTTCTCATGACCACCAGCCTCTACAACTGCAAAATTGAAACTTTTGTGAAACGGAATTTCTACCAAATCATTAACTTCAAGCTTACGTTTCACGTATGAACTCAATTCTCGGTTACAGTGATATAACCTAGATTTTGATGGACTGGTTTCATGATTGTGCTCGAGGAAGATCTTGTTAATTCTCCAAGCTTCATAAATATCTGACGATGCATAGATTCTGGCTTTCCAACCCATCTGAATTGTCGGTTGCGACTTGAAAGAACCACTAGTATTATCGAATCTTTGGCCTTCACGACTACAAGTCAAGGTCACCTACCCTAACTCTCTGTCATCCCCCTTTTTTGAATTCCTTTTCTTTACCGAAAATTCGACAACATAATCATATTTTTTGTATATGTCAAACATTTCTTATAACTCTTTAAATTGCATTCCTACCTTTGGCACGATCATACCATCTCCAATTGAGGTTTCATCTTCCAATATGTGAACGAAGTCCGCAACATTCTCATCATTAGATGTTTCCACAACATCATCACACTCAGTTTGCACTTCGTTCATAGATTTTTTTGCTGCAACAACTTAAATACTTACATTCAGGAATCCATAATAACACTAAGATAAGTACATAAGAAGTTACTTCACTCAAATTTTTAACTAAATTATTGCAGTTCATAAATATTAATTTCTCACATTCAACAAAAAAAAAAGTCACATAGTTATCATGGAGTGCATAAATATTTTTTGTAATAATTTGTTTTCAGGGCCATATTTTTTTTCCAATCCATCGAACAATTGCAATGCATAAATACTAATTGCGAATAATCATCACATATTTATTTTGCCAAATATCATGGAGAAGATGAATTTTGCCAAACCTTGAAGGGCTTTTAAATTACATGTCTTTGAAAAAAGCTCTCTCCCAAACAAAGAAACTTACAGAAGGGTTTAGCTCACAAGATGGATAACGTGAAATGTTGCTAAAAACTCGTCTTCACAAAAATGGAGATCTTCCGACAGATTACTTTTGACTGGAGCTCGGGTTCGTGAAAGTTTATCCGACATGTACACCTGGCAGCCTACTGTTGCCAGGAACTAGCCCCAAATTCGCAACGAGGTCAGTGCCGGGAGCTTAGTTTTCGTAAGGAAGCAATTTTGCCGGACAAGCTCGATTTGGGAAAAATGGTTAGCTACTGCCGGGAGCTTAGTTCTCCATTACATTTCTAGCCACAGCTTAGATCCCTCACGTGCTGTCTTTTTGGCATTTAATGTTCCCCTCATTTTCATAGAGAAAAAGTTTTCTTTTTCTTTTATTTATTGTGACATGTAAGCATTTTTAAAACCCTATCAATTTTATTGGTCAATGAACCTGTTTGAGAATTTTAGAGACTGTTCTCTTCGTATTTCAGTTTTGTAGTTTTGAATTCATTTTGAGTTTTGTGTTTTGAGTGTCTGTTTTAAAATTGCTGAAAATACGTTCTCTTTGTTATTCTGAAAAACTGTTTTTCAAAACATAAAATTGAAAAACGCATTTACTTTAAAATTTTGAAATTTTGTTAAAAATATTTTATTCAAGAAATATGATTATTCAATAAAATTTAATAGTTTACTATTATTAAATAACATATAAATTTTAAAGTTGGTGAATATTGAAATATTTTTTGGCAATACAGTCCAATAGATACCATTAACGGTTTACGTGTCATGGCAAAATAGACAGACACTAAACAAAATATAAAGTACATCCACAAAATCATGTATGATGTCTTGACTAGTCATTTCACATTTGTCTAGCAATTTGATCCCTCACTAGTCCTATTTGAGCTGTTTGACTGGCATCAAAATGTATTACTTCTTGATCTTGACTTAACTCTGGCATGTCTTGAAACACCATATTCTCCTCTGAATACTCTACGAAAAACTTATTTAAAGCGCGCTCCTGACGAATAAAGTTGTTTATTGCACAACATGCAGTAGAGATTTGTCTTTGCCTACTAAATGAATAATTGGTAATCACCTTCAAAATAGGAAATCCTGCCTTTAAAACTCCACTGCAACGTTCAATAATGTTACGACATGAGGAGTGTCTATAGTTGAACAGTTCTTCCTTCCCACGTAGTCTTTCCCGTCCAACATAATCAAACAAATGATATCTTTGACCTTGATAAGGGGTAAGAAATCCTGGCATGTTTGGATATCTAGAATCAACAATGTAAAATTGATCTGCAAAATAAAAAAAGGCTTGTATAGTGTGACACTGTAAATATATTTGCAATAATTATGGTAAGTATACGAATATACCTCCTCGTGGCATTGGAAAAGTTGTTCGAGCTTCTTGTGACTGCGTTAACGAATACTCGCGAATCATTAGCAGTACCTTCCCAACTAGAATACATAAATATGAATTTCATATCAAAAGTATGTGATAGCTCAATGCCACTATGAATTAATTTTTTTTTACATCTTCTTGTTTATTTTCTTTTTGGGTTAGTTTCATTCCGATCACCATACTTTGATCCAATTGTCAATGTGACACTTTACTTCAATTCCTATCAATTGAATCATTAAACTTTAATTTAAGTTCACAGAATGTCCCTTTATACCATTTATTAATGATGGTTGATGACAAAAACAAGTGCCCACTCTACGTGGCTGTCAAGATGCTTCGAAGTCAACGATTTATATTTACGTCATAAAGTTAAAATCAAATAAACCTCACCTTTAAATTATTGAGTTTGATAGTATCCTTGAGACCTTGTAAGATTGACTCAATTGACAGGAATTGAAGTATAGTCACCCAATTGACAATTGGATCAAAGTACGAAGACTGTAAATGGAATGCACTCTTTTATTTTCCTTTTATTTTTGGCATCTATTTATTAATACCTTCATCCATTTTCTCATTAACAAATACTAAGGATGGAATCTGTCTATTCACAGGTAATGTGCTGCATATCGAGTAGAAAATTATCATTTATATTATTAGATGTTATTCTTTGATTTTTATTTAGCCTTTGTTTTACGATCATAATTTTAAAGCTCATACTTATTTTCAATTACATATTTACACAATAAAATATAGACAAAATTACCAAAATAAAAAAAGTTCCACTTTTACATAACCTTGTTTGAGACCCATTCTTTGGGGAAAAAATGCATTATCCTACAATGTTTTGACATTATTTCAATTATATATTTTCAATAAAATAATATTATACGTAAATTCAAAAAAAATTCTTATTTTTAAAACACACATTTCCCATCAATACACTATTCAAAAATACATTTTCCCTTCCAAAATAGGGCTCAACACAAGTAGTCATTTGCAAAAATGTCCAAAATTTGTTCAATGTCCATTTTATTATTATTTAGACCAAAATGCCCTCATTATCAATTTTAAATTCCATGAGGACAAAATCATTCATATGATTAAAAATTGTATGGGCCAATAATAACTTGACACATAACCTATATTGCTTATTTTAAAAATACAGTGTCTATTATGCATTAAATGCTCACTTCTCCTTATAAATTGGTAAATAAAATATTTATGAAATATTGAGAACCATGCTTAAAATATCAAGAACTTTATAGAATGTAGAGAACTCTATGTCTAGAATGAGATCTCATTCTAGACAAATGAAGTATCAAGTAAAGATAAATGGGGTCCAAATGTCAATAACAACTTTTATAATGTCGAGAATATCATGAAATGTCAAGAACAGTAACTATTAAACACAACTTATCACTTATCAGCTAAAACAATATTTCCACAAAAAAACTCCATTCAAACGTGGTTTTAATGACTTTTCTACCTCTTCTTCTTTTCCCCCCAAAAATCATTGACCAATTCCTGATAGATAATGAATGCAAATTAATCCATTAGGTATTAGCTAGCATTAATGCAACTTCTCATAGAAGCTACTTGTTCTTCTTGAAATTCATGATAAATTGAAAAAAATTGTTTCATTTTTATTAAGAATATAATAGACAACTTGGTACCAAATTTAATCATTTTTGCAAGAGTTATCAAAATTAGACACCTTTCAATTGACAAGTATGAAATTGAACATTTTTGTAAATTCTCTCAAAATATTTTCCAAGTAAACTCAATTTTTTTTAGTCACACGTTCTTTAAAAAATCATTATTCAAAAAATCAATTTAAAAAATAATGATCATCAAACAGAGGCTTACAAGCATATCTTTTACTATTTTTGTTCAGGTTTATAAGTTATTTGGTAGAGATTAAAATTAATTTTTTAATAGATTTTGATAAAAATACTTGAAATGTATAATTAAAAAATTGTGACATCCATCAAATATATGATTAATATTGATTATTTCACTCAAGTCTCCCTCCAAAGAGGGTCTTTGGATCCTCAGGTCCTTCCACAACTAGTTCTTCTACAGTTCAAGTGAAAGGCGCTCTCTTCTCTCAACAATTAAATGAAACCCTAAGTCACTCCTAAAAATCAGAAGATCCTCAAATCTGAAAATCGACGAATAGAACGATAATGCAGAGATAAAGTTGATGTTGTGGCTGGTCGATCTTCTTCCTTCAAATATGCATAATCCAACGAAAGAAAATGTTGATTTCAACTTCGAGCTTGGACTTGTGAGTGGCGAACAATCTTCAACCTTCGACCTTCGAGAGGTGGAGGTTGATTGGGGAGAGATTCTGTATAGACAGCTGATTGGTGGAATCGACGACTGGTGCCTTTTGCTGTCGGGTGATTTTTTTCGAACTAATTAGTTCTTATAGTTGATTCTTGGTGCGCTTGTGTAAAAAATTTGAATCTTCTTTTCTCGTTCAAATGTATTTTGCCTGAAGTGTATAGCCAAACAAACCCTTAGAATAAGGCTTCAAGGGATGGAGAGATTTGGACCGAACCGGCGTCTTTCGGAGTGTTCGTACTTTTCAAGCCTTCTTTTTCTCGAGGTCAGCTTCTCATTTGCTCTCTATTTTTTCATATCTACGATTTCGTTAGTTTAGGCTATAAGTTTTTTAGTGAAGTATTACTATGTTTCTGCTTTTTCAACTGCTACGCTGATTTTGGATTTCTCTGGACTTGTTCAGTTTCTTGATTGGATATGGTTTAATTTAGATTACCCTTTATTGGGAACGGTTGAATTGGAAGCTTGATTTGACTGTGCTCCTTTTGCTGAATTTGAGATTTAGTTTGGGTCTTAGGAATACGAAATTATGAATTAAAAATTGGGTTTCTAATTTCTTCTAAGAATCATAGTTTACGGGCTTAAAGAGGGGGAAAAAGAATATGCTCTGTGTTGTGCAAAGTGAAGTGTGATTCTATTTGATTGACAAAATATGGGGATTACATAAATTAATTCTTTAGTTGTTCTAAAGGATTTTCTTTTTCTTCAATCAGATGGGAGCTGTGGAAAGAATGAGATTTGAAGAGGTCCATAATATTTTTGACACGATATGGCGAAGGGTTTCGCTAGAGACACATTTGAAAAGATCCCAAGGATTACAATTTGTAAAGATGAAAATGTTGATGATTATGGGCGAGACTCTCATCTTCAGTTGTCTTCGGGTACCATTAATCACGAATAATAATGTTTCCTATATTAATCAATTAATTGATTGCAAATAAAACATAAAAGACTACTTTGACTTTATCATTTCTACGTATAAGGTTTCTTAATTAGTTATATAAACCCTCAATTATACAAATTTCCTATGAGGATATATGTAATTTAGGTTTGAGCTTCAGTAATTGAGTTTATTCATTGTACTTGGATCATATTTTAAATAATGAATTTTGGGATATTAGAGGGATTTACTGATTATGTCAGTAAAATAATTTTCAACATATTAATACATAAACGTAGATTTTGGAGTGAGATTTTGTGAGAAGTCTTCAAAAGAATGTTAGGCTGTTATTATTTCTTAAATTTCGTATAGACAGTTTTTTGTAGATGTAAACTATTTTGTCATCTATTTAACTCATGGAATCAGAAATAGATTAGTTTGATGTCGGGTAATTATTTCATGCACAAGAAACTTATATGGCAACATCTGTTGGTTGAATGAGGAGCATCATTGGAACCGTTAGCCAAAAATGAAATGTAATTGGAAAAGAAATTCAAGGATATAATATAGGATGAATATGAGGGAGTGACATCAATAAAGAATGGGATACTCTTTTCTACGTCTTATGCCAATTTAAATTGTATATTATATTAATGACTACTTTTATATGTGTGTGTGTATTATTGTTTCTAACTCCGTTGATAAGTAAGATTCTCCCATTGATGCATGTAATTCAATTTTTTCTTCCTGAACTGTATAGTAATAGACAGAAGAGATCAATGTTGCATAGACTCAATAGTTTGTTTACAATATTATAATACTTGTGTTTTCAATGTCGTAGTTAGCCCTTATCTTGGGCTGATCAGAATGTGCAGCAAGAGTACATTCGAGGAATCAATTCCTCGAATTTCAATCACGATAAACTGAAGAAATAAGCTACTCTTGTATGCTATCAGTCCATTGATCTGTTGGTAATATGGATTGCATCATTTGAACGCCACTTTAATAAGTTGAGGTTTTCTCTGCAGATTCAGGATGATGATCTTCCTAATTCAAAAAATTCAAGTGTGAGTTGAAAGTATAGGAATGGGCAAGATGACGCTGATGCTCCTCCAGAGGGAATGCCTACCGATCAGGGCATTCATTCAAATGTTGCACAATAGCTGGAGGTATAGTTGCTATTCAATATATAGTTCTAATTTTCCTATTGTTATTCAGTACTTTCCTTCAGACTCCTCCCCTTTCTGTTTTGCTCTGTTTTTCGCTTTCCTCAATCCTTTATAGTTATCTAATAAATGCAGTTTAATCTTTATTTTCTCAGGATGGGCTCAACGATATTCATGATCTAGAGAATTCGTTTGCTGCATTTCTTGTGAAACCTCTTCGGGCACTAAAGTATGGCGCATCTGGTTTGGACAAGCTAGAAAGGCAAAGCACATTTTGTTTTGGACTTAAAATCAGATCATCCTGCAATGCAATGGGAATATTTTCATTGATATTTTGCACCTTTGTAAATTACATTTTTTAGTATATTGGTATATACTTAGCTCGTTGCTCGTTACTTTTAGGAAACAATGCTAATGCACAAGGAGTTGGTGCATACTAGTGGCCTTAACAAACTTTTAGTGGAACTTCAAATCAAAGGTTGGCATTTCCTTGATAATCCATCTTTTTAACTACTCATATTCTAAGTATAAACATTTTGGGTAAATTCAAAAAATACAGTTATAAGCTTATAGAGAAACTATTGCTAGAGCCCCTCTGAGGAATGAATAATTACGTTCTATGTTGCTCGGACTCTCCAAAAATGGAGAAGCATCCGTGTCTATACAACATGACACAGATACTGACATGGAATATGGATTGAATCCTTCGTTTTACACTTATACACGGCAACAAAAGGGAGAAGATGGTGGAAGGTGTATTGCTTCTCCGGCAGTTGAAAAATTTGTAGAGAGAGAGAAATTTGGGGAAGACAAAGAAAGATGATGAGTTTTAGAGGAGTTAAATGGGCTCTTGAGAAGTCCAAAGGATAGAGTTAATGAGAGTGTGTTCAATGGACTCTAGTGAAGTCTAATGAATGTAGTTATTGAGTTTATATAATTTTTTTATTTCTTAAATTTATATTTTACAACATTTTATATTATACTTAAAATGAATTAGTGATATATTATTTATTTGGTATTAAATTTAAATTTATTTCTATAATTTTTTTTATATAATATATAAGACATTGAATTAATTTTTTCTTAATTCTTCGGAAAAGAATTTATTTTGATTTTTAATTTAAATTGATTTCAATATAATTCAATTGTTTAAATTGATTTTATCGGATGAGTAACAAAATAAACTACGAGTTCATTTTTTAACAACCAATATCAGTTAATTATGTTTACAAGTAAATTTAATATTGTGATTATTTACTTTAAAGGAACCATTTTTCTCTTTGTTATTTTGGCATTGTTCTATCATTTTTAAAAATAAAAAATTGTAAGAAGTATTCCCGTACTCGTATCCAAAATTTGGATTCTTTTTAACCATATCCTCATATCTTAATTTTTATAATGAGGAGGATCCGACTCCCAGATATGTACTCGTATTCGATACCCACGCCCAAGTTCGAGCATCATAGATTATGTTGTGCAATTGCACATTCAATAATTTACATATGCTGCATTTTTTCTACATGGCCACTTTAGAGATCACAATTATTCTCTTCAGTTATTCCTGACTATAAGTATTACTTTGATGGATAAGTGAAAAAAAACTGGACTATGAAGGAGTTATTTAGCGTTACAAGGGGGAAATTTTTTTTTTTTGAAGAGGGGTATAGCTTTGACCCATTTTAAGTGGTTGATTTTTTGAATGCTAATGACTTCCTATGTTGGGGAGCACAACCGAAGTTACAAGTTTCTAATTGCCTGAGCTTGTTTATGTATAGCAGTCTTAATAGTAAGTTAAATTTTATTATTTTATTGAATGCTGCCAAAGAGCTTATTTAAAATTAGTGAAATATAATAAGAAATTCTATAGAGATATACTAAGTGGTGGGTGGATAGTTGACAAGGTAAGGAGTTTCCTCGTATTGAATGATGTATGACACACATAATTGGCAAATTTGGAATCTTAACTTTGCAGCGTATTGATGTGGTAATGTGAAAACCAAACTTTAAAAAACAAACATTTATTCAAATGTGAAAAACAGTTCTTCTATGGGTATAGGAACTTGTTACAGAAAATGGTACAGGAATTTAAAATTGATAACGTGGCATTTATCTTGACAATGACCTGGCATTTATCTTGGGAAAATGAAAAGTATTGAAACCAGATTTCAATCTCCACAATTCACTCTTCGGCCTTTCCACTCACAAAATTTATTTTCTCATTTCCCCCAAATCACTCTTCCGTTGTATTGCCCTAACCTTCCCAACTCAAAACTGCTACAATCATCGTCGTCGTGAACCGGAGCCAACAAAGAGCGTACGATGCAAGCATCCTTCCTTCACAGTAGCACTCACCTCCATCCGCCACGAACAATTTGCCTACAAATAGTCCCCAAGCAACGCACTCACTTCCATTCTTGATGCCGCACAGCCGCACTCTGCTCCATCTTTGGCGCTAATGCAAGTAAATTTCTTTCTAGTTTTGTACATGAATTTTGAGAGTTTTTTTTTTTTTTTTTTTTTTATGGTGTTGTACATAGATTTTTTAGAGTGAATTTTTTATCTCCAGTGCTAATGTTTGTACATATTGTTATATAGTGAATTTTTATGTGAAATGAATTTAAATTTTGTTTATCTACTTGCTTCTTGTAGATTTCATCTTCCTACTGTATTTTTCTGTGTTCACACTGAAGAATATGGTTTTTTTTTTCCATTTAGATAGAGAAAGTCGAATTGTTTAGTGTCTTGTTTTATAAGAAGAATTGTTGGTTTTATTGGTTAATGTCAGTTATTGAGCTCTTCTTTAATGTCTTCCTTTATAAATTGGAATTGTTTAATGTCTTCTTTTATTGTCAGTTCTTTGACATGGATTTTGAGGTTGGATAATGGTTTTTGACATAGATGATTAGGTTTAGGGTTTACTATAATTGGACACTATTAATGATTGATGTGGGATTTAGTAATTCAATTGCATTCATGTTTGTTTATTTGTTTGTTCAGTAGTTATCGACTTGAATGAGAGGAAGGAATTATGGACTTTGTCACGATTGCAAAAGCAACACTCAAAACTTTGGACAATGTCAAACAAAACGTCGATGCCCTTTGTATAAATAGAACATCGAAAATATTTTTCCCAATGCACCTGACTTTCCACAGAGTAAAAGGAATCGCAAAGTTTGATGGTAAATGAAAGGGTTCGACACGAACGGGTGATTTGAGTTATATTTGTGGTAGATAGACTACTATGATTTCAATTTGAATTTTCTATATAGGTTATTGTAACATACGAATGGTTAGGTCATTGTAGGTTATAGGAAGTATGGTTAATTTTGTCAAAATTGTTTGATAATTCGACTTATGGTCGTTATTAGGTTCGTTGGATGTCAAGATGCATTTTTAAATGCGGATTTTGATGAGGAGGTTTATATGACATAACCTGAAGGGTTTGCACTGACCGAAAAGAACATAAGGTATACAAGTTAGTAAAAATGTTATACGGTTTAAAACAAACACCTAAAAAATGACATGAAAAGTTCGACTTAACTATAATATCATTTGGCTTTAAACATAATAGTGTAGATAAATATTTGTATTCCAAATTATGTGATGATTATATAAAATTTATTTACTTATATGTTGACAACATGTTAATTATAAATAATCACTTGTATGGAATAGAAGAAATGGATATGTTTCTATCTTTCACATTCAAGATGAAGGATCTTGGATAAGTGGATACCATTCTTGGTATCAAAATTACTAAAAATAGTAGGGGTTATAATTTAAATCAATCGCATTATATTGAGAATGCGATAAATAAAATAAGTTCAAGCATTTGAATATAAAGAAATATAGTACCCCTATTGATCCAAGTTCTAAACTAATAAAGAATGATGTAAGGGCAGTTGCTCAATTGGAGTTCGCAAGTGTTATAGGGAGTCTAACATATGCAATTCAATGCATTAGAGCAGACATAGCATTTGCAATTAGTAAACATAGTAGGTTTAATAGTAATTCGAGCAATGAACATTGGAAGGACGTTGACAGAGTTTTTGAATACTTAAAGAAAACCAAGAACTTAGTTCTACAATATACTAAATTCTCGGCTATATTAGAATGATTTACAAATGCTAGTTGGATGTCTAGCACTGGAGAAAGTAAATCTACTTCAGGTAGGGTGTTTACGCTCGAAGGAGAAGCTGCTTCTTGAAAATCAAAGAAATAAACATGTATAATACATTCAACTATGAAATCCAAATCTGTAGCATTATCAGATATCAGGAAAGAATCTGAGTGTTTAAAGGATCTACTATATGAGATATCATTGGGACCAAAGAGTACATCTTTAATACATATCATGTGTGATAATCAAGCCACATTAGCAAAAGCATACAATGAAATATACAACGGAAAGTCTAGTAACATGAGTCTTAGATATGACTATATAAGGAAATTAATCAAAAGTGGAAAAATTTCCCTGAATTATGTTAAGTCAATCAAGAATTTAGCTGATTCTTTAACTAAACCTTTAAATAGAGATTTAATGACGTCTACTTTGAGTAAAATAGGGTTGAAACTCTCAAACTAAAAGGTCCATCTGTGATAGCAATCCTACCTGTCATTAGATTTAATGATGTCTACTTCGAGTAGAATAGGTTGAAACTCTCAAACTAAAAGGTACATCCGTGATAGCAACCCTACCTGTCATTGTTTAACAAGTAATTCACGGGTTCAAAGGGTAACAACAAGTCATTCGATATATAATTAGTCTCGACGTTATAAAATCTGAAATAACCCTTTTATAATTAAATAATGTTGGTTGTTACTGAAGTGAGGGCTAAGTTTAAAGCTCTCAATGAACTACAAGTATCTCTAAAAATAGCAAAGCTATTGGAAGAACTTCACCCTAGATAAAATTAGAGGTGGTGTAGTCTCAATAGAGAGTTAGAGTCTCTCAAAAAAATATGTCGAAAAGGATAAGCGCAATGTCGTATTAGCACTTAGCGAGTTTGAGAAACTTAAGAACACATGATACTTATGTGTGTATACTTACTGGAATTGTCATAAGCAATAACTGGTTCGAAACTGCAATACTACCTTTGATTTCGACTCTACTTTGTTTGAATTACACTATAGATAGTTTCAAATTGAAAGATATCTAATTTGTATACATTAGTATTGTATATTTTGAATGAGGTTTCATTAAATTTTGAACAGAGGGGATTGTTGTATGGTGTTCAAAATCAATAAGTAATTATGTGAAATGAAAAAAATAGTTTTAAGGGCCAGCACATAGGGCAAAATTGGCCGCGGTTAAAGGCCATGCAATGTGAAGATCTTTTTGGTTTTGTTTTTGTTTCTTCTTCAATTCTCTACTTGCGAAGATATATTTTCAACACAAACTACTTGAGGTTGGGAGGAAAAGCCTTGAAACTAAACAAGTCTCTAGCCATTAGTGGTCATGTTCTAAAAATATTAGCAAAACTTGGCTTCGCCTTTGTGTAGTGGTGTCAACGAGCCGAGTTGAAACTCGAGGTTCGGGCTCGACTCGAGTAAAATGTGAAAGCCCAAGAACAACTAACTAAGAGGGGGTGAATTTGTTATCTAAAACTTTTTCAAAAATAGATGCAAGATTAACCAATTATCAAATGAGATAACACGAAAATAACAGGAAGAAGAGAAAAGAAGTCGCAAATGATATGTTATGGAGGTTCGATTCAATCAACAATCTACGTCCTCTATTACCCAGCTTTTCGTCACGAGCAGGGCCTTTTTCCACTATTGTTGACTGACTTATGGTGTAATCCAACATTTACAATACTCTAGTGACTTACAATCAAGGAGCACCGATCCTTTTACAACGTTTAGCTTTTCAAGACCTCAACATGACCCACAATCAAAAACAAGAAAATGAAAAGTTACAAGTGAAAGGTTCTCTTTTAATAAATGATATGAACTCAATTAAGTATCAAAAGAGAAATATGTGCAACACTTTAATAAATTGCAAAGAGTATAGCTCAAGTGTTGATTGAAAAACTTTAATTGAAATAAGTAATTTTTTACAAGTTTTGATCACTGAAAAAGTTTTTCAAAATGAATTGATTTGATCTTTTAAAGATTGAGAACTAAGGTAGAAAAAGATCAATAAATGCCGCACTTTAATGTTGAATAATTGTTGTTACAAATTTAGTAGAAAGTGAGGTATTTATAGCCATCAAAATGTCAAAAACTCCGTTAATTCAGACACGGGGTCTGGACGTCCGCTTGGGATCCGGATAGGTAACTAGCCAGTTGAGAAACGGTCGAAAAAATCTATAGTTGGAGGCCATTCGGATGTCCAGATGGGCAGTGTTGCCCTCCGGACAAATTTCCTTCGTTATGAACTTTGTCAATTTAGGTTCTTGAAGGATTGTCTCATTTATTTTGTATAGATAAGTATTTTTGTGAATTTTCAATCGTCAAAATAAAATACTTATCTTGGAAAATAGATGTGCAAGTGAGCTGAGAAAAAGTTTTCATGCAGTAAATTTTTTTGAGCTATAATCGATGCGAAATATTAAAGTGTTTTACCTTTACATTTGAGTTAAAAAATGCATGTATAGCTAAAGTCTTTAATCTCTTCTTCCAATGCGATTTTTGATGCGAATGCTCAATTTCCATTTCCACGTTCATCAATTTTCAATCTTGCTTGTGTGTTGATTGTTAGGCTCCAAAACGTTCGTCCATGTGCGTGATTCTTGTCTCGATTCTTGTGTCCTCATTCTTCATTAATTTCACGATAAACACTATCAACACTTAAATTCAATTTTTCAAAATTGAATGCAATTTATTTGTGATAATTAAAACGAGAAGTCAACCATTATGTTAACAATTTCCTCCTTTTGATTATGGCAAACAAGGTGATTTGCAAAATAATTTTTTAACAAATTGAATTGGACAAGGAATGTAAATATTACAAATATCTTCCCCTATCGATTTTACTTAAGGTCCCCCAATCTACATGCATAAAAATTTTAAGTTCCCTCTTACAATGTTATCCTGTTTTGCATAATCATTTACTTATCTTTCCCCTTTTGTCATAAGCAAAAAGAAATAGTGAAATTCTTAAAGAAGTCAACTATGCATAAAGAGATTAACCATTCATAACATGCCATACAGTCAATCAAAAGTTCAAAATAAAAAATTCATAGTCTGATAAAAAAAAGTCACTAAGACATCAAATAACTAAAATATGATAATGAAGCAAGGCGCCGGAGGTGGAGGCGGGAAGCGAGCATACAAATCTGTGAAGAATGTAGCCTGCTGGCCTGCATCTCAACCTGTCACTACTGCATCTCAACCTGGCAGTTCTAGATAGTAGTCTGCTGAGCCTGAATCTGAAGAAGTAGGCTACCCAGGCTGTCGAGGGAAGAGGTGAGTGGAGGAGGTTATATTGCTTCTCGATAAATGTAAAACAGCTTCCGGAGGGACGGGGTGCACTAGAGCTGGGAATATCAGATGCGGGAGCTAGAGCTTCAGGCTCGTCTTTGTGCTCATCTTCAACCTCGTCTTCAAAAGGTAAGGTAGATCGATCGGAGGTAGGATTCAACCATTTCGTATGAGCCACCCATTTTCCCCGTTCCTTTACTATCTTCATCCATTTTTGTGTTTGGATGTTGATAGTATCGGTAGGGCGTAATTTAACAAAATCTTCGCCGTCAAGTAAAATGTTAAAATGTTTTTTAAAAAATTTGTAAAAAGCATCCCGTAAGATAAAGTTTTAGTGTGTCATGATGCATGCACAAATTTCATAAGTTCCATGGTAATAGTTGGAAAATCAATTCGACGCCCAACTACAAGTGACTCCAAAATAAAGAGATCGAAGTGATTAACTTTGTCTCGGTGTCCTTTTTGGGGAAAAATGACATGGGTAATTATATTTTTCAAAACTTTACATGGAAGAGTCAATTGATGTGCACTTAATTTGGTGATATTCTTGAAGTCCTTCTCGAAAACTTGGCGACAACCCTCGAAAGGATCATAACCTTCCATGGTAGGTGGAGATTTATGCAAAAAGACTTCCAAGTCACAAGGCTCGAGTTTGAGAATTTCACGAACTAAAGCTTTGGAGATCGTAATGTGCGCATTTTTAATTAAACATGGAATGTTGTCGGAATGAGATGCAACGTGCATTTTTTGATAAAATTCTTTGACAAAGCGTGAGTATGCATGCTCTTCCATTATAGCCACGGATACCCATCCCATATTTTCAAAGCATTCTTCCATGTGAAAATCGGGTGCTTCTATTGTAAAATTAGCAAAATTAATATTCTTACCAATTAAAATGGGCGATTTCTCGAAGGGTTTCGG